GAGCCTCAAACACTAACGAGCAAACCGCCATACTCTTGATCAAAACAAGTGTCTCAAGTCAACGAGCATATAGATATGCAAGCATTCCACAAAGATCTATAAATCACACACGAACTAAGTTAAAAACACTTAAATAATACTGATTAAGATAAAACGACCCCCACAGTCAAAAAATTAAAAGGCGACCATGAAGGCCACGATTGTCAAAATATTACATAAAGGGAGCACGTATCCCCCATCCAAAATACGAACAAATAAACACGAAAACCACGATTGTTTGAATATTACATGAAAACGGGAAGAGCCTCTGAAACATATTATAATAAAGCGGCACGCTGGCCAAAACAAGAAAGAACAACAACAAGCTGGTCAACATCGGGCTGAGACCCCTCCTCGTGAGCACAATCCTCTTGGACGAGTTCCTCGACTAATCCATCCTCTCCAAACTTGAGGGATTCGGGGAAAACAATCTTCCCATCTGCCACATGGTAGAGGAACCTCGTTCCAGCTATGTTCAGCTCCACACCAGGATTCACCACTCTAAGCTGCACCATGGAATTAATAAATCTCCCCTCAATATTAGCCTGACCATCATCCACGACCAGTTGGAGGCGAGCAACCAACTCTGCTCGGGTCTTCAGACCCTTGGCCTCATCTGGTTCATCCTCGGTAGGAGCCATCTCTTCCCTCATAGCTACGACCGTGTCCTAAAGGGTCTTCTTTTCCATCACAAGAGTCTTATACTCCTCTGTCAACTTTGTCAGGCTCTCCGACAACCCTTTATTGGAAGATTCACCTTGTTGAGATTCTCCTCGAGAATCACTACCTTTGTCTGGGACTTCTTTAATTCATCCTCCTGGGAAAAACCCTCCTCAGGATACACAATTGTCATCCCTAGGATCCTCATGAGAGCACCAGTATCTCGGGCCAGCATCGTCTGCTTGCTCAGACAATCCATCTCTTCGAGCACCAATGATTCAACTCGCTGAACCTGCAGAGAGGAGCCCTCGAAGAAGGCCTTGTCATGAAAGCACATGGGGAGTTCAAACTCGCCCTTTCCTGTTCCCCTGTCAGGTAGATAACACCCACGATACATAGTCTCTTGAACCTCAAGGACACCTTCTGAGGAGAAAGATGCCCGACAGTCTGGCCAGTTGATGATGTCCCCGAACTAGTATGGGGAGCATCCCCGTGTCGCCTTAAAAGCTTATAACTGATTTTTGTCCCTTCTTCGCCTTGATGGTAGCCGATTTGACCATACACTCTTGGGTAGCATTCACTTTTCCTGCAAAATAACAAGTCAAAGTCACCAACCAGGGATAAAGAAACGTGTATGCAAACCCAATCAAAATGGGAAACAAAACGACTACCTAAATAGTTTTTAGGGTCCTCGCATTCGAGGAGCTCCATAATATTTATGAGTCCTAGTTTAAACACAGGCTTCCCGCCCTCGTCCATAGCATGTCTTCCCCCTTTGCCCGTACGCTGAACTGGGGGTATCCCCGCAACAAAGGCCAACAAACGGTCATAGCTAACCTGGTCCTCAGGATTTTGCTGACCCTTCTTCTAGATATAATGGTCGGTCCCGTGAGCAAAATGTTTCCTCGACCAATGGAAACTAAACTTCGGCACTAGCTTCATTATAGGGTCCCATTCCCCGTTCAACACGGGACCCCTGATGTCGTGATCAGTGGGACGCTCCTAAAAACATTCAATAATGCCCTCTCTAACACGGGCTGGATCAACATATACTTGTCCTTGAAATGTCATACAGATTCAAGATAGGCCTTGAACAACTTCTCGTTCGCCTGCTTCAGGGAGACCCATCTGAATTGGGTACCAACCGTGCCCAGTTGGAGATGGAAACAATAGAAGAAAAAAGGAACAATAGCCCCTATCTTCAAATAATCACACATTATCTCAAGAGTTCGTAGAAAGGTAATCGAGTTGGGATGAAGCTGAGAGGGAGCAAGACAAAGATGTCGAAAAACGACCACATGGAGATCAATGAAAGGAAGCCGAAGACCCAGCTCTCGGAAGAGAATCTCATACATAGGAATTTGGTTTGAATCAAACTTCGAGCATATGCGATGATTCTTCTCGGGAATGTAAATCGCCCATTCTTCCTCGACACCCTCCGACTCCATCCCTGGAGCCACCAACACGAACACTTCATATGGGTGCTCAATGAAGTGAGAGGAAATCTCTAGAGGACCCGGCGCAACCCAGACCAAGGAATCCTCGGGAGCTGCAGGCGCGCCCTACACATCTGCACCCTGCTCTGGTGCGCTCGGCTCAAGATCACGCGCTCTCGAGGTAATCTCCTCGATTGGCGTACGATCAAAAGAACTTGGTAAGGAAACGTTGTGCTCACTCATGAGTTTGTCATCGGTACTATTGGCCATCGTACCTGAAAAGTAGAGGACAAAAGTGAATTCAACGTCAAAATCAAATCCACCCTTCCACCGCTAATCAAGTGAAAAGGCATTCAAAGGAACGAGGACCCTGTCTTCGCCAGAGCCCTCACTCAGCAGCTAAGAGCAGGCACCACGACCATCTCTTGAAGCACATGTACCTCCCCGACACATCTGGGTTAAGCCACTCTCAAAATTTCATCAGGAGCGTATGAATATCGAAGCCAAAACCCATAAATAGCCCCAACTTCGCTTGAAAATTCATCACGAATCACCATCACCAGCCTTAAGTCTAGACATCTCTGAACAGGTACACGACGGAGCTAACATCCTCAGACGGCACAACCACAGTCAAACGCCAACAAACCGCCAGAAATTTCCACACAAAGCTATTCTAATCCTAACCACATGCATCTCTAGGAAAAGAAACAAAAAATCTAACCTAGAACATAAGCAAATTCCATATAAACATGGAGAAATCGAGAAACTTACTTGGTTAGGGAAGATTAACGGCAGAACGAGCAAGAGCTTCGGTGGAGAACGACAGTGTCATGCAGATTTAGCAGAAACGAGCAGAAAAGGAGCAAGCAAAAAATGCAAATAAAGCTCCTTCTCCCCCTCTTATAAAGCAGCTTGCTGGCACGTGAACAGACACGCGCCTAGGGAAACCTAAGGGACATCATCATTGCATCCTGAGTCCCTAGACTTGCCATCATTGTGCATTTATGACAACACATGGCTCAATGCAAGCGCAACACGCTAATCCTTCAAGATCCACTCAATTGTTCTTCTCCCTACGAGACGGGCACACCAAGCATCGCTCAAATTCCTCGCATGAAGTCGTCCGTGAAACGTCCCCCTTTGCGGACATGTCTTAAGTCTCCACTCCTCTGTTCGAAAGCAACGACTTGGGGGCTCCTGTTCTGGATTGACCCAATGACTATAATTGGTCGAATCTGTTTCTACCTCAGCATGACCCAAACAATTTTGGCCCACTAACTTTGATTCTCGGTCGAGCACACTTGATCGACTGTTTCATGAGAGTATCGAGGATAACGATGCCCTGAGCATGCCTCTGCCTGCATCAACATCCAGCTCTAAGTATGTTCTCTAATCGTCGAGCAGACAACCAGGAAGATGCTCACAACGCGTCTTCCCGTCATCTCACCTTGCTCGAAACAACGACTAGTTATGGGCTCGACCGCCCATTTTGACCAGGTCCTGATAGTTACATATTTGTGAGGAACCTAATATTTAGGCCAAAAAATAAGAACTAATAGTTACGCGCTGGGGGCATTATATAAAGCTTCACACTTGTGAGAGTCAGATATCCAATATTCATACTAAAAAATCTTAATCTCTTTCTTGTTTCTCTTTGCACTCTTTCTCAATAGATCGTCAAAGTGTTTTGCAGGTACACCCACTTTCTCTCCTCATATCTCCAGCTAAGTAGACATCATCATCTTAGCCTACTTTCAGATTCTGATCAACCGCTAAGATCAATTTAATTTACGATTTTTCTATTAGATTTGTTTGATTTTAAACACCTATTCTAATTAATGTCATTCCTCTTACATTAAATTACTTTGTTTAACGATAGAAATTAAATGTATTCCTGTAAAAAAAAATTGATATAAATGTTCAACCTTCCCGTATTACTGTGTCAAAAGTTTTTTTTTAGAATTTACAAACATTGATGAAGAATATTCCTATTAGTCCTTAATATAAATTCTTTTTTTAGTTTTTAAGTAATTTATCTAGTCGATTTTAAGCTTAATTATGTGTAATAAATATAAAAAATAAAAATTTTGGTTAGCACGATTGATTTGTAAGGAAAAAAAATGAAATTCTTTTTTCTAGAAGTTTTTGGTCTTCGGGTTTGACCCTTGTTATTTATAAAAAGTTTAAATTCTAAAATTTACATTTTAAAACTTTAACATAAGAGTCATGTTAATAAATGTTTTAGGAGTACTAGTTAAAAAAACAAAAAATAGAAATTTCACTATAAAAACTTTTAAAATTTAACAAATTGCACTCCAACACAAAATTTATATAACTTTTAACACATTTTTTAACATTAAATTTTCCATACTTTTTTTTTGTTGGTATTATTACGAATTCAAGTCTTGATCTCTTTTCCATTCAAAATTTGAGTTATAAATATGATTAATTTATTAAAATATATCACACAATATATTATAAATATTAAAAATAAATTTTATAATTGAGCAGCATTCATCCTTAATCTCCATTAATTATTTATGCTAATCCAACCTGTTAATATTATTTCTAAACAAGAAATAAATAAATAAAACAAAAATTAATTAAAAATAAAATACCAAAAAAAAAAAAAAAAATATAGTTAGAGAGAGAGAGAGTGAGTGATGATGAATGAAATGAATCTCACCTCATATAAGTAGGTGTCATACATTTCTCACATCCAGCTGCCTCTTCTTCTTTCCTCTCTGGAACTTCATTTCTACACCTCCCCCAAAAGTTCCAGAAACCCCCCACCCTCAAAATGCAAACTCTTTCTCTTCTTTCACCCATCTTTTGAAATTCTTGTTTTTCTTCAAACTCTTCTCAATGCTTCCCCTACGCTTAACCGTCGTCGTTTCGTCTCTCCTCCTTTCTTGCATCTTCCAACCCTTCTGTCTCGGGATCCGCTCCTTCCCCACCGTAGACTCCACCACCACCGCCACCACCACCACCACCGCCGCCACCACTAACCTCTTCCACTTCTCCGAAGCCCCGGAGTATCGAAACGGCGCCGGTTGCCCTGTCCCCGGCAACAAAAACTCCATCCCATCATGCGACCCATCACTAGTCCACATCGCAATGACACTCGACTCCGGCTACCTGCGCGGCTCCATCGCCGCCGTCCACTCCGTCCTCCGCCACTCCTCCTGCCCCGAAAACGTTTTCTTCCATTTCATCTCCGCCGAGTTCGACCCAGTGAGTCCACGTGTATTGACTCGTTTGGTAAGATCCATTTTCCCATCTCTAAACTTCAAAGTTTACATCTTTCGTGAAGACACTGTCATAAACCTCATCTCATCTTCAATCCGTTTAGCGCTAGAGAATCCATTAAACTACGCGAGAAACTACCTCGGTGACATGCTTGACTCGTGTGTTGAACGAGTTATCTATCTTGACTCAGATATTGTTGTTGTTGACGATATCTTCAAGCTATGGAGTGTGAGAATGGGTGAGGGTAAGGTTATTGGTGCACCAGAATATTGCCATGCGAATTTCACCAAGTATTTCACAGATGAGTTCTGGGTTGACCCTTTATTGTCACGCGTGTTTGGAGCAAGAAAGGCTTGTTATTTCAACACGGGTGTGATGGTGATGGACATGGTGAAATGGAGGGAAGGGAATTATCGAAAGAGGATTGAGAATTGGATGGAGTTGCAGAAGAAGAGGAGGATTTATGAGCTGGGTTCTTTGCCACCTTTTTTGCTTGTTTTTGCAGGGAATGTTGAAGCGATTGATCATAGATGGAATCAGCATGGACTTGGGGGTGATAATTTGAATGGGGTTTGTAGATCTTTGCATCCCGGGCCTGTGAGTTTGTTGCATTGGAGTGGGAAAGGGAAGCCGTGGGTAAGGCTTGATGAGAAGAAGCCTTGTCCTTTGGATTCTCTTTGGGAGCCTTATGATCTTTATAAGCCCAGGAGTTATAAAGATCAGGAGATTCAACCTTGGACTTTTTCCTCTTCCATTTTGGTTGGATATGCTCATGATTTGTTGTGATCAAACAGATAACTGCTCCGACAAAACGATATCGGTAGATGCTGATACCAGTGGGGAATTTCCACCACCACGACCAATGCAATCAATGTTGCAACACCTGAACCGATAGACCGAAATCGACCGAAATTGCGAAATCCATTAGTATGATTCATTTTGATACTTTTGTTGTTGTTGTTGTTGTTAATGTTGATGATGTTGTTTAGAAATTTGTGATTCTTTTTTCTTTTTAGGTTATGTACAGATTTGTTTTTTTTTTCTTTTCAATTTTGTTCATCATTCTTTATGTAGAATGGTTTTTTTTTTTTAGAGTTTTAATTTTTGTGATTTAGATGTGGAATTTGAATTCTTTTTGGAATGGGGGGTTCCATTATTTGGAGCAATTTTGGTGGGTGGGATAAGTACTTTTGAATGGGGTCAGTATTAATTGTATGCGCCAAACAAAGTGCAGAATGATAGACAGCTGTTTCATTGTTTTTTTAAATATTTTGGTTAAGTTTCTTTTACATCAACTTTTTTGTTTTCTTGCTTTGATGGAGTCTTGTATATCTATCAAGCATAGAGATGCCTTATAACACTTGAAATTATTTGAGGAAATAGAGTAATTTAATGTAATCCCATGTGTTATATATTAGTGTGGATAAACTAAACAAAATTTGATTGAGTTCAAATGGTTAATGATCTCTACTCAAGAACAAAGTAGTTTGGACGAACTCAAGTTATTTATCTTTTGGTTTGGACGAATTTGAGTTCAATCCGTCCTAAACATCATACACATCTTCAATATGTTGTCTTCGAAGTCTATATATATTATTGGACCTCTCATTTTGAGGATTCGTCCTAAGCATCAGAGACACTTTCAATATGTTGTCTCCAAAGTCTATCTTATTAGACCTTTCATTTTGAATGAGAATTAAAATTAATTTTGATCTTAATTATATTCGGTAATCGTTGTTCTGCTATCTAAAAACAATACTAGAAAAATATGAATTCGTCTAAAACTTGGATGTTTATTTCGGTACCAAAAGTTTAATAATCATAATTCTATATAATTGGGCATCTTCAGAAATATATTTCCGAATTCACTCCATCTTTGAATTTGATGCAAAGATTCAAGATTCGAAAACACCATATTTTTGTAAAAAAAATAAGAGGTTGTTTTGAAAAAAGGAAATTTCGTAATTTCGGAAATACATCTCCGAAACCACCCTAAAAAAAAATGAAATTTTATAACGTCGAAAATACATATCTGAAATCACCACAGAAAAAAAAAATTTCGTAACTTCGGAAATACATCTCCAAAATCACCTCAGAAAAAATAAACTTTGATACGTTCAGAGATACATCTCTAAATTTTGGAAATAAAAACCAAATTTTATCATAGATGATTGAGAAGATACAAGGACGAGCAAAGAAATTCCTTAATGTATTAACTAGATAGCTTTCCATCAACTTTTGTCTGGTTGCTTTTCTTATCACTAACCAATGGACAATAAATGGCGTTAGTGTGGTGTTTTAGTAATTTGTTTTATGTGTTCCTTCCACCTAAAAGAACAAAGGGAAAACACTAAAAGATAACAAGGTGCTTGTTTGGGATTACATGTTGCCACTTATCAAGTTATGATTGAGAATTGGTCACGGATTTACTATGATTTTAGGTCTAAGATAGAAAAGAGAAAAGTATATAGAACCATACATTGCCAACACTTGAAGTGTTAAATTGGTATGTTAGGTAGGTACTAAGTCACGTATAGTTGTTACTTTGCCTTCAGGAAACTGAAATATAATACTACATAGTAACTTTTTTATCAAGTGATTTTCATTTGTTAACTACTTTAGGACCCCCACAAGGTTCATGTTTAATGGAAAGTTCTACAAGTTTGGTTAAATCATTGCAATTGCACCTTCACTTACAATTTTTTCTATACTTGTCATGTAATTCAAGTCTAATGCTAAATTTGGATTATACTCAAAGTCAATGTTTTGAAAAATAATCTAACATCAAATAAGCAAGACATCTAGGTTATAGTTCTAAATTATCTAAAATAGATCGAATCAAAGTGAAATTTTCCAGCAAATTAAAATACAATAAAAATTAATTCAAGACTAACTAAATTGTTAGGTTTCGATTATAGACCGCCCACTTACTTAATATGAGAAATGTCTAATATTCGTGCAATGTATAAATATTAACATGTGAATAATAAAAAGATGGTTCTTTCCATCTTTATGGATGCTCCCACACCACCGTGAAAAATTCATAATACCTTTAACATTCAAAGATACATCTTCGGACGCATCTATTTTCGTCATTTCTCAGATCAAATTGAAGAGACGCCTCTTTTACGTTAACAGTTAATTTGGAGATGCATCTCCGTATGTGAAAAAAGTGTGTCTGAAGATGCATATCTGAAAACATCATTTATTAAAAAAAATTTGTTGGTGATTCGAAGATGCATCTTCGTGTTAGGAAAAAACAAACCATAGAGAAAAAAATAGGAACACAATAACAACACAAGGATATAACATGGAAACTCTAAAACTGGAGGAAAAAAACATGGTCGTTATCAAATGACAATCAGAGAATAACACTATGTGAAAATTGTTACATCACATAATATATCCTCAACTAACCCAGACCTCAATACATCCACACCCTCCAAAACAAATATTTAACTACATCTCACAACACTCTAATGCAAGAGCATAAGAGAACAAAGAAAGTCAAATACAAGCTTAAAGTGCTTTTGACTAGTGCATTTTGTAAAGAAAAACTTGAATCCTATATATAATTTTGGACTCCCTATTCCTTTACAAAAACAAGCAATGTGAGACTTCTTTAACATATATATTTTCAACCAACCCCAACAATCTCCACCTTGAGTGAAAATAATACATAAGTTTTCATTGTCTTCGCTGACAATCATACTCCATCATAAAGAGTATAGTCACTTAAAGCTACACCACTCCAAAAATTTTCACATTGTCTTCACCGACAATCATAGTTTTAAGAACTATCATACTCCACCTAAAGAAGAGTATACTTCACTTGAAGCTAAACTACTTCAAGAATTTTCACATGCTGAAAAACAAGTTGAAATATTATGGTGCAACTTCTATGTTGACATGAAGCTCTTCAACCATCGACATAATCTCACACTCCTTGTGTAAACTGGTTGTATCAACACATCTTTGACTTGAATTTTCCATAAGTCAAAAAAACAATTCTTACATAAATTTTCTATAGCCCAAACTGCTCAGCGGAACTTGTGACTGTAGCTCAACAACTCTTTCACAACATCACCCTTCTTTTCTGATGTGGAAGATCGGACAAAGCTACAACCACAAAGCATACTAAGAACTTATATCCTCGGATCGAACCAAAAACCATGATACCAGTTGTTGGGGAAAAATCAAACAAACCATAGAGAAAAAAATAGGAATATAATAACATTACAAGGACATAATATGGAAATTCCAAAATCGGAGAAAAAACCACGGTCGTTGTCAAATGACAACCAAAAAATAACATTATGTGAAAATTGTTACAACACATAATATACGTTCAACTAACCCATGCCCCCAATACATCCACACCCTCCAAAAAAAATATTTAACTACATCTCACAACATTCTAATACAAGAGCATAAGAGAACAAAGAAAGTCAAATACAAGCTTAAAGTGCTTTTGACTGGTGCATCTTGTAAAGAAAAACTTGAATTCTATATATAACCTTAGACTCTCTCTTCCTTTACAAAAACATGCAACGTGAGACTTCTTTAACATGTATATTTTCAACCAACCCCAACACTCCAGACGCTTTTCTTTCATAACCTACACCAAACACTTTTCTTTATAACTCGTGCTAGACGCTATCATGACGCCAGGAACTCCTGGAGAACCACCTAGGCCAGCTAACCAAGAGGTACTTGAGGTTCAAGATGAGTAGATAAAGAGCGCAATGAAAGTGAGAAAAAACACAAAAGGGGGATTAAATTGTGTTAAATTTTTCTTCTTTTACTCTTAAAATATCTTATTAGATTCTAAACACAAGGTTAGAATCTAATTAAGAGTCTGAAGTATGCAGCAAAATTAAGATTCAGAGGTAAATAAGAGAGAAAGAAAGACACAAACAATTATGCTAGTTCATTCCACAAAATAGGAGTAGTCCAACCCCCTTGCACTTCCAAGGGATTTTCACTATTATCACTTCTGGTCACAAAAGTTCAAGCATACAAGCAAGAGATTTCCAAATGCTCAAACACAAAATTAAGAGACTTCAATGCTCAAGCACACAAGCAAGAGACTTCATATTCTCAAACATAAAGTAAGAGACTCCAATGCTCTAGTACACAAGCAAGAGACTTCTAACAACTTATTTTACATACTAAGGATTGTTTAAGACTTACACTTGATATACAATCAGAGGTGTAAACAAAATACAACACAAAAGAAAAACTCTAAGACTTAAGAACTTCTAAGAATGTAATTTTTTTAAGAAGTTATAAGTTTAAGCTTGTGCAATAGTTTTGACAGAGTAACATCTCTTTGTTTGTCAAAGCTCGGTGTTGTAGTTTCTCCAAGTAATTAGATCCTTTTGTAAAGGAACACAATTGATACGTTGGAAAAGACTTATTGCACAAGTTAGTCTTTTAGAGAAGCATCATCTGAGATGTTAGAAAGCTTCATGATATGGTTAATGGTGTTTAAGTATTCACGTGATCAGAAGAAGAAAAAATGTCTTCAGATTCTGATAGTGACCTATCTGAGTATCTTGATCCTTGAGCCTTAACTTGCTTCAGGTTCTGACTCTTTAGAAGATGACTTCATTTAGAGTATGAGATCTTTAGGTTCTAATCCTTAACCAGGTTGAGAGTATGAGTCTTCAGGTTCTGATCCTTCAGAGGTTGACTTTCTTCAGAAGTTAACCTCCTTGAGAAGCTGATTGTTAAGAGTTTGAAATTCAGAATCTACATCTTATGGTTTCTCTTTGGATGCTCAA